GTGTAAAACGGTAACATGGACTTTTAATTCAGCAATTAAGCTGTCTGTAAAGTCTTAAATAACATTTGCGAAGGCGTATTTTACTTCTAGTTTTTTATGTCAGCCCAATGACTCAATTGGAGTTGTCGAACAACTCGAATGATCCTGGAAGTGCTGTACTTGCGGCGTGGAATTGTCGAGTGAGGGTTAGTGTTCATTGAAGGAATCGGAATCTCTTGTTTATACAGAATGGAAATAAGATAGAAGTCGCAGGTGTTTATCGTGGCAACCGATTAAATTTCACCTTACGGTGCGTTTGTGTCGTTGGCACAACGACGTGATTGCAAACCCCTCCGAGGAGAAAAGGCAAAACATTCTGCATTCCCCTTTTTCTCTTCTGGCTCTCTTTTTGTCATTCGCAGACATGGTCTGTGAAGTTTCTTTTATTGCTCAACATTGTCTTGGATGGGATTTTTTATTTGCTCGCTTTCGGGTCGAGTCACTGGGAGGAAGGAAATGGAGATGTGGAAAATGTCCAACAGCTTTGTCTCGGAGATTCCGACGATTGGAGGTGGATTCCCATCCTGGAATTCACTAGCACCTCTCACATGCCCTTCACTCAACGGTTGAGATTAATTAACATTAATTACATTAGCTTCAATTGAATCAAAACTCAAAAAAAAATTATTATGAATTGCCTACAGGGAAAATGGAAGAGTTTATGGTCAGGGGTTTATTGTTCATTGATTTTATTCATAATGTAATGAATTTTAGATTTCGTGAGAATTAGACATTAATTTCGATTGAATTTCACACTTGAAATATCAGGAGTAATTTTCCAACAGTGAATCAGAAAAATCAGGAAAATACGGGAAAATTATTACATTTTGGAATTAATTCCTAAATATTTCCATTAAACGAAAAATTGAATTAATTTACTGCATTTGAAACATCAAAACTTTTCGTCGCTATTTTTTCTTTCTTTTGAGACTTTATCAGACAGGAATTAAAAACTCATGAGATTCGTATCGAATTTTTTGCTCCGATGGGAAAATATTCTGTCAATAAAACGGTAAATCTGTAAATAAATTATTGAATTCTTGAATCAGTCGTCTGTTATTCAAGAGTTCTCTTACTGAGAAATGAGAACGATTTATTCTTTCATGAAGATCTCAATACGTACAAATTAATCTAAAGGGACGGTGGATAGGGAGCTCAGAGGAAAGAGGAAGGATTGATAGACTTGATGGCTAATTTGAAGTGAATAGATACCGTCTCCTTCATTACTGGGCTAGTCTCCATGATTCCAGTTAAGCACCCTTTCCTCCATGTTTCTCATTCCTTCCGCCATCCAAGATTGATCAAGAAAGATCAGGGTTGAGTTCATTATCTTCGTTCCATCCACTTAATTCTTCAAAGTTACGATCGAACTCTAATTTCCATTACATATTTAAATAATATTGAGTGGAGCTCGTGGAGCCTCGAGTACTGTGTAATTATATTTAAAAACTGCAATTATACAATTATCCTGAACTGTTTTCTTACTTTTATTTTACAATACTAATATTTACGGCGCATCTTGTCTACAGCAATCACATGGGGGCATGAAATCGAATTCAATTTGCATTTTGTTCATGAATATTTGTCGAGTGTTTTTATCACTGATACGTCGGCGATGATTTCCTGAATTTTCACTTTACCCGAGAAATAAAAAAGATAAAACAGAAGCCTAAAAATATCGCCCGTGAATTGCCGACAATTTTTTCTACCCACACACCACCACAATATTTGGGGATAAAAAGTTTTCGTGTCAGTGCAGTTGCCAGTGGAGATTTTCCTCATCCGCAATACTCTCCCCTTTTTACGATTACAACAAGATAGGATGTACTAAAGTAAGCTAGACAAGTTTTCTGGTAGAAATAACGTGCGTGAAGCATTTACCCCGAGCCATATACCCAGATGCAAAAGTGCATTTAATCCAGTGCTCAAGAGACATCGCTAGGAAAATATGGTGCTGGTAACTCGTCCTAGGGGTTTCACCTCCCAGTGTGAAAATGTACCTAACGTACACCAAAACTCCACCTTTTCCCCCATTTCCCTCGTCCAAAAGTGAGAGAGACAGTTAAAGGGAAAATAGAGTTGAAGTTTCATCCGCATTTTCCCTATTCCGCTTTTCTCATTTCCATGAGTATCTCTCCGAATGTCCAACAGCCGAGAGAATACGAATAATACAGAATAAACCAACCAGCCGTGCACCACCTGACTTTTCTCACTGGAATTAGGCATGCATGCAGGCATCACTTCGTCAATAAATTCATGAGCATTTATCTGACACTCCCAGAGTAAAAATACCTTCAGGCCCACCTGACGTCTGATCAAAAGTTGATCCTTTTTCCTGAAAACCCGCGGACCATGAGGCAATTTCGGATAAAAACCCTGACAGAAACCAATCGACAATTAATTAATTTAATTAACAATCAAATATTTGGCAAGTTCCGTGTTATTGACTATTGACTTGATTTTTTATATTCATTTTTGGATTTTTACGTGAGAAATGTACCAGAAAATACAGAGGACGATCAAGCTAAAGTAAATAAAAAAAGGTGGATGTTTTTAAATACCATTCACCACGTGCGCATCACTTTATCGATAAATTCATGAGCATTTATGTGACACTTTTGATGAAGCATCGAACGACTTTTATCCGGAATACATTACCCTCTGAATAATTCACCCAAGAGGCGAGGAAAAATACGGATGGAACCGAAAAAAACACATCTCTCCGACGCCATTCCGTTTTATGAATATTCAGTGATTTTTCCTTCGACATTCTCCTGATTTTCCACCTTTTTATCCACATGATCGGGATAATTTCGTAACGAGTACGTGTTCTCAAGTCGTTTACCTCTGAGGATACATTATTCCGATGGCTCATGCGTCTAAGATACATAAAAAAGTGGACTCAGGGAGATTAACGATCCTAGAGAATTTGCAGTGGAGTAACCAGATGGAAAAACTGGGAGAAAGTATTCTTGAATTTATTTTTATACTAAAAAATCGGCCACTGCGTGTTCTCGGTGAGTCAGTGGAAATTTTTTATTCCCGGGGAAAAAACGTGGGACTGAATTACAATGGACCATCCGGGGATGTGTTTGTCTCGGTGGTGTATTTCTGGGTGAGCAATTCTTGAATTCGAATACGAAATTGCCACGGCATTGATTGTTCAAGATGTGTCGATAGCGAGATACCCAGATTTAGAATACAGTGAGCAAATAAATGGAAATTCCAAGAAAAATTCTCAAAACTTGTAGAAATTCTAATATTTATAATATTCAATTGTATTTATAATATAATTCTGTCTTTTGGGGTCTCTTTGGGGGAAATTAAAAAAAATTCCCGATTTTTCGGACAGGGACAGCTTGAACTTAAAATTGCATAAAAATTCCGCATAATCAATAATATTTCCCAACAATTTTCATCATTACATATTTTTCAATGAAGCATTACGGGAAAATAAATATCCAATCTGGGAATATTTCCAGAAAATCATACGAGATGATTAGTTGTTAAAAAAAATTGTAGTGTTTTTCTAATGAAATTTATGGTTGCTTTATTGAGAAGATATTCAGTAATGTGAAGAAAGGTCACTTGATTCTAGGAATCTATGCTAATGACAATTAATGAGCGCAAGATGCTGTGAATTAATGACTTCAAGTCAGGGAAAAAGGCTGTGAAGCTCATTAACTGATGCTGCAAATTCAAGGGAATTACTGTGCGGATAGTAAGCAGTAATGCCTTCACTCAGAGTAAATTCTGATTTTTAACTGAAAATCTACAATTTTCAACTGTTATCCCATTTTTAATTTACACTGACTCATTAAAACTATTAAAATTCCCGCATTGATTTCCGTTTCTAATCTCGAATCTCACCCTCTCCTTAAATATCGATCAAATTAAAAAACAAAAACCATGAAGATAAAAATCCATGATTTTTCAAACTATAGTTTTTCCTTCAAATTCCATCAAATAATATACAGTAGAATAAAAAATTATTCTACACTATGGCACGTGATTCATTTTAGTTGCGTGATCAAAAACGGTTCCACTGATGTCGCGTTACGTCTGCCAGTTACATTACTCTCTTTGGCCGACACCCAAAAAATGGGTCATCTAGACCAAAAACAAAACTTCATCTCAAATTTTGATTTCAAATATTTATTTCAAAGACGTACTCATAACAAATAACCAAACAAATTCCCTTGTCTCAATAAAAGTAACTCCTGTACATAAAAAAATGAATTCATCAATAAATCAAATTTATTTCCTTTGAATCGCGTATCATGTATTTTAAAAAATCAAATAAACGAATTAATTCATCTCAAATAACAGAATTTTTTTTAAAGAGCCAGCAGGATTTATTTAATATAGATGAAACAGCCCTAAAACCAGTCTTCTATTTGAAAAACCATTTCATTTGTTATTATTTCGATAAACTTGTTTATTGGATTCAGATAAATCATTCTTTTATGGCGGCACATAGCAAAAACGTAGTTGCAGTAAAAAAATCCATGTATTCATAACAGGGAAGTTAAAAAGTTTCCATATCAAATAATCCCCTCAATATTGACCGTCAATCCTTTGAACTCTCTCCCCCTCGTCCCTCAACATCACTTCATCCTCATAAAACCAAAATTTTCCTTATTCACCCGAGGAACGTTTTAATATTCTTAAAATGCGTTGAAAAGTTTTATGTTACCCATAAATATCAGGTGAAGTCGAGGGTGCGAAAGTTTGGTATTAAAACCAAGTGGAGAATATTCATAACTTTAATGCTGAGTAAAAGTTTGTGATTATTTTTCAAAGGAGAAGGCAACATTGATTGATGATTTTTAGTTTAAATTTTTGAGGATACCGTGGAGAAAATTACACCTCAATTCATTCACTACCCAATTCCCGGATTCCGGAGTGAAAAAAAATCAAAATACTCGCCAAAAAAAATCGTAAAAAAATAAACCCCTTACCTCTCCCCCGATCCCGTCGCTTCCGTCGCCTTCTCCTCCTCCCCTTGTCAACAGCAACATCTGAGGAGGAAGACTCCCCAGATCTCCTGGGACCACAACTTTCATCCTCACTTCCTCTGGCAGCCTGACGACACTTCAGTAGATCGTAAACACGTTTGAAGTAATTCCCAGCCATATCTCCCCCCGGGCCGAGGGTCGATTCGAAATTCCCCATCCTCCACCCGTCCCCACGATCATCATCACCAGATCCATCAATGATCTCACCCGGGCACATCCCCGTAGTTTCCATCCCCCCGAAATAACTCAAGTCCCCAGTTCCCTCGACCTTGGGATCGACAAACAAATAATTCTCCTGGAGGATGGTTTCAGCCTCGGTGGAGAGGTCCTCCTCATCCGGTTTTAATTTCCCCAAGTCCTCCAGGATTCTATCAGCATCGTCATTGCACTCGATAAGACTCTCGTGAATCCTAGGAGTCCTGGGGATCAGAGCGCATCTCCACCCCCTCGGACACGAGATACTCCTCTCGATTTTTGAAATACGTCTCTCAGGTTGGAGGTAACTTCTGTCTGACTTCGGGGACAAGTCGCTCCTGGTTCTCCTGTAGGATCTCCTCTCTCTGGCGCTCCTCTCAGACGATGGACTGGTTGACCTGATGTTGACATCACTCCGCACCTTCCTCGGGCGATAATTACATCTGGCACTTCGACGATTGTCTGAGTACCGTCTCTTTATTCTCATTGGCTTCTCGCAGGGCATGTCTGAGTCACCGTCATCACTCGGGTGGGAATTCCTACGTTTTTCATTGTCATGATTCAAGTATTCTCGGACACGGTTGTACCTGTCGAATGCCAACTGCTCGTCGCTCTTGGTGAGAATCTCTGGGGAGCGCAGGTCCTCCAGGCGTAGGTAATCGCCGATGGAGTATCTCCGGGACTTTTCGAAAAAAAAAACTGGAGATCGTTGGTGGCCCCTTGGGTGCCGGTAGTTGACCTCCGGTGCTAGAGACGTTGCGCTACGACTCTTTCTTGGTGAGCTTGGGGTGGATTTCCTCAGGGTGAGAGGCGTGGAATGCAGTGGGAATTTCTCGTAATTGATCAGAATGTTCGGCTCGCCGTTCGATATGTCTTTGAATGTCTTTGGGAGTGGGTAGATGTGGTCCACTATTTTTAGGCGCATTATCGTCCCTGGGGGCGAGTTCGTGAAATACGAGAAATTACGCTCCGTGTGTTTCATTTTATCCGCACAAAATTATTCAGAGGCACTGATATGAAATTCGTGGGTATGAGATTGTGGGGAATCTCTGGAAATTTTGGAAAATTGAAAATACGGATAAGTATTCAGTAAAAATAACGAAAATTTATGGAAGTGAAAAATTAAGTCGCGGTATCACACCTTTTCACGAATATTCGAATAAAAATTATGGAACGTTATGAGGAAATTTCGGAATACTTCTGAAAAATTTCTCTCATCTTTATCCGAAATCACGGAAAAGATGAGTAATTTTTTGTGAATACTTCTCTCCGTATTGAACTGAGATAAGTTCAGTTAGTAAGTGATAAGCCGATGTAAGTCGACTTAAATCTTCGAGAACTTTCTCGTATATCTCCGGTACTAAGGGAGATAGCGAAATTTTTGGAATCAGATTTTTTGTAGCTCGTAGTTAGATGTACAAAAAAGGTCATGATAAAAATTTCAATATTTCTCTTACATTGCGAGTCTCCCGTGGAAAACTTAGGAATAGTTTAAATCGGCTTAAACCGGTTTATTGCTTCGCTACTGAATTGCACTTCGGAATATCCGAGAACCTTGAAAAGTTTATTGGTTTATTTATTAAATACAGATTCTGAAGTGAGAAATTATGAGATTATCGTAATTACTTGTCTTAATTCGGGAATGAATGCCTTAAAATTTTAATTTCTATTTGTTACCAAATTATTTCAGCTCAAATAAGAAATCATTAATTTTTTAGTTATTTTTTTAGTATTTGACATTTTTTTATCGTTTCCATTATTTTTTCCATGTATTCTCTATATCTCAATCTATTCATAGATCAAGGGCCCTGAAATGGTGTGCGAAGGATGTCAATGAAAAAAAAAAATAGTCCTCGGATATCCTTAAACGAAACTTGCTGTTCACTCCAAAAGTGAAGAATGATTCAATCGCGAAAAAATGCAATTCAATCACAAATCAGTGAATCCATAAATCTTCGCGCAAATACACGGTTCATCTGAATATTCGGAGAAACTAAAATAATATCTGGAAAGATTCCCCAGGAATCCCATGGAACGGATTAAACGAGCGATTATTTCGTACAGCGAAAATGGTTATTCACTCTTATTTTCTCTTGGACACTAGCACTCGGTATCACTTTAGGACTGACTTGTGGAGTTTACGTAAATTGTGGATTGCAAAGTTGGCAGAATTTCATGAAGTATGTTCCGGGGAGGGAGCAGCATTGGATGAACGGTTGGAGAATTTCCACTGGTATGCAAGATTTTTGCTGAGATACTAAGGAGCTTCGAAGAATGGGCAATATGATTCAAGACCCCGCGAGTTACAAATTTTTGAAATTTGAGGGAAATTGTTTTGGTTGTGCTATTGTTACGAGGGAAAAGCTCAACTGTCAGTGGTGAAAATATCAGGGAGAGACCAGTCGGCGGCGTTAGTCTGGGTGACATCATACCGTCGACCAAAATAATCTTTTGATGGTGAAGAGAGGACTGAGGTATTCCGGCACGTGGGATGCATTACACAGATCACAGTGTCCTATATCTCGAGTATTTTAAAATTCGCTATTTATGCATTTTTTATAAGTTCCAGTTAGCTTCTCCATTTTTCTCATTTATTCTCCTCTTTAGCTAGTCCTTTTGCCAACCCATTAGCAATCTGTTTTTAAATCTAAAATCATTTTTAGACCATTAGCCTGAAGATACTTCTTCTTTTCAAAATTTTTTCAATGTTTAACCCACACGGAGAGAAATATTCAGCGATAATGACGAAACAGTTAATAATTCGGTATTTATTTTTTGAACGTACTCGTTTATGTATTTTAAATTAATAAATTTCAGTTTTCTCCAGATTCTCTATTTTTTGTGGTTGCCAGTGTCTCGAATTTTTGGGACAAAATTTGTCGTCAGTTCGATGTTTTCTGTCTCGGTGTGTTTTTCTCCCGATCTTTCAGCGAAACCCACGGGACCATTGTATTTATTCGTGTAAAATCAGTGTCTTCTTGATCCAAATGCTCTTGAAAACCCTCGGGATCTCGTGCCAAGTAAACACGTACGCACATTCGAATCGAAATACAGCGTCACAAGGCCACTGAATCAGAAGTGACATGATTCAATAAAGTGCCCCCTCAGCCCCCAATTATTTCTACACAGCACTCCTCATTAGTGCCCTGTTAATTCTTAATTGAGCCTAACTCCATCAGCGATAACGAGACATTTTTTCGCGCATGCAAGCCCACTCATCAATTCTCTCCCAAATTGGCAAGTTATTTTAAAAAAATATCCGGAGACAAATGGATCACCTCGAAAGAATCCAAAACCAGTTGTGTACGGTAGCATATAAAACCATAATTTATTCAGCAGATGAAATTCAATCAATTATAAATGTACAGCAACATCTCCTGCATTCTCTCATTATCAATCAATAAAATGAAGAAAATATTACTGAAGAAACAAAAAGTTATCAGTTTACAACAGTGAATAACAAATTCTTATTTTTGTCCAGCAACATTACGTAACTTATTCAATTATTGTAACATCATTCGATATACAATTCGTCCTAAAAATATCCTAACACGCAGGAACTCAATTCAAGCAATTAGTCCGCATAGTATCAATCGATAATCATTTAATTATCCTATCTAATTTCTGTATAATATAAAATTGCCATCGTCAATGATTTCCACACCGTGATTACTTCGTCTATCATGTAATAATACTTATCACCTCTTTTTAAACATTATCCATCTCACGCTGGGAGGTGGAACGATTACATTCTGCCTAATTCTCCATAAACAATGATTTTTATATAATATATGGAATCGATACAACACTGCTCTTACGTCATATAAAAATTGCACGTTCAAAGGCTTCATTGCAAGAGGAAAAATAAACAAATATCTGTTTTCGATTTAACTACTCGAAACGCCAATACACACATTTGCTAAATTACTGTGGTGGATTTTCGTGAAATAAAAGCAATTCAACTCCATTCAATTGATCCAACTGTTCGATTCACGGATTTTTTATTGACTGGAGGATTACTCCAGGGAAATGAGAGCTCTCACTTTTTTGAAACCTTTCAAATAAGTCAAGACTGTAAGAACCTGGAAAATGTCTTTCATTCGCTTTAGAGTGGAATCCCTCTCGTTTGATCAGTTGTATCTCGAATTTTTCATTTCAACTACGATGCTGGAACTTTTTATATTTCTCAACAGGTATTATATCTCAATTCTCAATAATATCCTTATTCCTATAAAAAACTTGCAAATTCAGTTTTTTAACGAAATTATGAAAATTGCACATTAAATTTTATTGCATTTTCAAGGGATTGAGAATTGCAGGGAATATTATACTCACTTTCAAATCACCTTAATAAAAATGAAATAACTACCCCTTCAATAGCCTCATAATCTATTACTTGTTGGACGTAAAAATTCGCAATAAGAAGAAAACAATGACTCATTAGTAATCGAAACAGAAAAAAATCAAGTAATTAAGTACATATCAATTGACAAGTCGATATTACCTAATTCTTGATGAATAAATATTCCAGTAAATATGAATTTCAATTAACTAAATAGAAGGCGAATATTTAGCTGTCGGAAATATAACAAAAGTAGTAATTAATGTGGATGAGTGATTGTATGCAATTCAAGATTAATATCATCATTCATCTTTTCAAGAGAAACTGAAAATAATACTCCAAATCACCTGAAAGGCGTCAACCTGCTGGGAGATATGAATCTAGGCGAGTTGTCATCTTTCTCAACACGTAAAACACATTAGTGAACGAAAGACGTTTTCCACTTGTTTATTCAGGATTTGATAAAGCCATGTGTCACACAGACTTATGATAAAAAAATTCCTACGTGTTTGTCAGATGAATACATGGTCGATAAAAAAATGTATAGCTGCCATTTTACTTTTAAATATATAATCCTGTGAATGCGTTTATATATCTTCAACAATTTTGTTAATTAATTCATATTACGGGGGAGAAATGACAACAGAAAAGTCATACAATTCAGAAAATAATGAAAAATCAATTGCTCATTTACACGTATAATCGATTACACAGAAATTAAACGATTTGTAGAAATGAAAAATTCGAGAGTTTCAATATTTTAATTTTTTTCTGGTAAGACCACTCGATAATATGCACCACCAGTTATCCATTTTAATTACATTTTTATTCAGTTTATGGAGTACTAAATATTGAATTGATAACTATCGGGTCGTCTGTTTGTTTCTTCGTCACCGAATTGATAATTAAATTTAATTTGTCAGAGAGCAGTTTTCTAGAAGGGAAAATCATAACAGAGGTAGATAATGATATTCATGTCCTTATGCAGTTTCTATGTTTCTCTAACATCTTTTTCATTTTTTGAAGGGAAAATGCTGGGAAACACTGGGGGGTTATAGAACGAGCCTAGTGTGCGTTATAACTATACTCTAACGTAGAATACGTAAGGGGGCTTAAGGAAGGGAGGTGGAGTGATTTTAGATGTACCTGGTGTGGAGTCTGAAGGGCCAGTCGTAGCGACTTGAGATGCCTGAAACGGAAAAAACAAGATGTTATTTTTCAGCCGCGGAATTTTGACAAGATTTTTTTCATTTATAATTTTCATTCTAAATTCAATATTCACTGCAAAATTATTTCAGCAGTGATTTTAAGAACAATAACGCAAACTACTGAAATGGAGATTAGAAGAAAATGTTGTGTTTCAGAACTGACAGGAGTTTGTTTTTCCACTCAATTCATTCTATTGAGATATTTTCAATATAAACTCAAAGCTATGAATTATCCAATGTTTATTTGTTCGTATTGATGGAAAATTATGTAATTTTAGTAACTGATAACAGAATTTACGTTTTGGGTCTTTTGTTTAAAAAATGTTTATATAATAAATCTAGATATAGAATTTTTTTAAGGTAAAGGGAATGAGCTTCGCGTATAAGATAAAAAAAAATTAATTTTTCGTGAATAGTTGTGATTGTTGATAAACACCTTTGGGCATCCACAATTCCCAAAACAAGAATGTAAAAAAAAAACACAAACCTTTGTCCCCTTGCAGTGGGCGGTGGGTCTCCGGTCGCTCTGCTTCCTCTTCACCTCCTCATAGACATCAACAATTCCCCCATCACTCTCTCCCCCAGGTCTCTCAGGGGCCCTCCTCTTGACCTTGGCTCCATCCCCCTCAATAACAGTATGCCCTCCATCAAATTTAACAGACTTCTTCTTCCCCCCAGACACCTGTCTCCTCCAACAAGGGCTCAAAGTCCCATCCTTCCCCATCTGCTTTCTCAAAATAACAGTGCACCCCATTTGCTCACTGGTCACCCCAACTTTGCATCTCGGTGAAGGTCCTCTCCCTTCTCTCTCCCTATCGCCGACCCCCCAGTCCCCCCAACTCTCCCTCAATTTCGAATAATCCTCCCTCTCATTGGCACAAGTCTCGAAATTCCTGACAAAACTCTTAACTCTTCCTCTAGTTATTCCAACATCGTCAACCCTCTCATCCCTTAATCCTACATCTGTCATGTCATTATTGTCATTATCATAAACTTCATTACAGCTACCTATGGCACACTTATCATAACGATTATATCCCCTAATGTAATTACCTCGAAAATGACTAAAATCATCCCCAACATTTTGGCAATTAATGTTAGACACTAATCTAGAGTCATCAGTCTTTTTATCTACACTACAGGCACTGTTCACCAGTGATTCATCACGGTTAACTCCAACATATTCACCATTATCATGAGTTTTGTCAACAGTCTTCAGCTTGATGGAGTGAAAATTAGTGAGAAGCTCGTTCATCACCTGGCACTTGATTGTGCCAAGGCTCTTACCCATCACCACTGGATTTTTCCCTGATATTGGCCCATTGCCCACGTTACCCACATCTTCACTGGTCTTATCTGTCTTATCGGTGTTATCAATCTCAACGAGTCCACCAGTGCATTCATCTGGCAATAGTAAATCACTGGCTTTTGACTTTGGATGAGTAGCGATTATCGAACACGTTGTGTCATCGTCGATGCTACCCGGGTAACTCTCCTCACTCAGCATCTTATCGAGGAATGAATTCCTCAGTAGATGTGGTACTTGATCCACATTCTGAGGGGACCAGCGCTCTGGCATCGATTTCAACTCATCGGGCTTTATAAAATCAGCTGATTCCATGACCTCGCCGCACGTGGGAGGCGCTTCATCACTCGATCTTATTGATTTATCTCTCGATGATTCCATTATATCTGATGTCATCTCCTCGTCGTTTTGAATTTGATCATTTTTTTTCAGCGGTTCAATTATCTCATCAATTTTTACGGGTGATCGCCGACCAGACACCCACCAGTCCTCAGATTCCACTCCCAGAAAAGACTCGGAGTTGTTTACGATCGTCAGGATCTCGAGGTCTTCTTGGCTTGTCGGTATTACTGGGCTCTTGGGAGATGGGGGGCTCTCTGTTTCGATGATAAAACGAACTTTTGGTGTGGTTTTCAGGGGGGAGGATCTTGATCTGTCTATTAATTCGTCGAAGACAAATTGATCGGGGGTTTCGGAGTCGAAGGTCAAGGAGAAGGTGTTGATGAATTTTTCGAAGGGAGTGTCGGTTGTCGTCACTCTGAAGAATACGTCGTCGATGTTGTCCGGGAAATTTTCGGAAATGTTTTCGTTGAAGTTAACGTCAAAGGGGAGTGGCTTTTGGAGAATTGGGGGGTCAGTTTGGGGAGACGATGCTGACATCACGTTTTCAAAGTCCTTGAAGGTAAAGAGTAAGGGGCAGGCCTTTGGGGGTTCACTTGGCGCTGATGGGGGGGTTAATTTATCCCGAGGGCTCTTGGAATTGTTACAAGGGGGCGATTCAGTGGCGACGATTGAAATTGAGGTCGGGTTACGTGAGGTAGGCACTGACGTGTTGTTATTGGATTTCGAGGGGGTGGGGTGTGGGTGCATTGCTGATACTGGGGACTTTCTTATGCGTGATAAATTCACTGGTGAGGAGGCGGTGGGGGCGGTGGGCACCAAGGGTAATGGGCGACGACGTTTTCGTCGGGGTGGCACTGGAGGCGCGTTTTCTGGGTCGACTGGAACAGATGAACATTTAAGTTCATTAGATTTTGTAATTTGCATTTGGCCTTCGAATCTTATAGCTAAAAATATTTTAACACAACGCATTATTTAGGAACATTACAAGAACAAGGGAAAAACATAATAAATTCTCATATTCGGCATATGATCTTAACTTGTAACATTCTTCGGGCTAATATTTTCGCGAATTGATATATTGACATTATAATATTTTGAGCTGCAAGATTTTCTTTCAATATTTTAACAGGTAATTATTACTGAATAACATTTAGATCGGTCACCAATGGAATTATTGTCATTTTAAATGTTAAAATAAAATCGAAAATGAAATTTTGTATTTTTGTGTCAATCGGTTATGCCCCAAAATGTTGGAAACGAATTGATCATGAAGATGTTTCTAACGCGTGGAATTGGCCTGTCAAATAATCGCAATATCTCTCCAAATTGAAATAATAAAAAATTACTGATGAAACTAGGGAATTCATCCCCGGAATAAATTTCCATTGAATATCTCAGAACACAGGGGAGCCGTTGAGTCTCTCATAGGAACCTTTTTTGCATATTTCAATTTGCCGACAGCAAAGCTTCCACAAAAATTTTGTGATCGCTTTCTTCTGGAATATTCACCGAAAGCTAATCTCCAAGTGCTACCAATTACATTTTCCCACTATAATTTCAATAACGAATAAAAACATTCCTGTGTAATACAGGAATATTGAACTCAGCAAAAACACAATCACTAAATTGAATTAATTTATTCCACGAATTATTCTATTATGTAATTGAAAACATTTTCATCTGAAATTATTCATCACAAAAGATGAGCTATTAAAGATAGAAAATTGAAATGATTACTCAATACTGCAAAATTTTCACCATCAATTTTACAAATAAGATTTCTCAGGAGTAAATGTCTTAATATTTATTCCAAAAGCGTACAGTGAATTTCCCGAATAATGGAAATTGGTAGATTTATCTTACTTTTATTCATGGCTATAAATCGAGTGGAAATGAAAATTCTTTTCAGCCCCGGAAATCGCGATGACCTGGTGGCCAGGTGAGTTTGAACGCTCGGCAACGACTGGAGGGTGATTCCTTAGGAATGAAAGATTACTTTCGAGTTTACTCCCCCCTCTGCCACCGGTAATACCCGTTCAATAACAATGTCACATGCTTGTATTTGTCACTACACTAATTTGTCATTCGAAACACAAATAATCCAGAAGCAAAGAAAAATGAATCATAAGAAATCGGTTCACGTAGCATTCATGTTTTCGCAGAATATCGCTGAATCGGGGAGAGATAGCGAACATTTTGTGATCAGCTTTTTTATAGTTCTCGTTGCGTTCTACAAAAAAGGTTCTGACAAAAATTTCGCTAGCTGTTATAGATTTCAAGGTTTTCGGCGAGCACTCGACAGGGGATAAAATCGGTTTATAACCCTTTACCTCTGAGCTACCGATTTTTTTCTTTTCATTTACCACTCGACAAATCAGAGGAGATTTCGTATTATTGCGAGGGCATATCAATCCTTATCAAGCATTACCCATTCAGCTTAATTTTAGAATCAGCAGCGGGAGCTAATTATCACGTTTAATGAATGAAACCTCAGGTTCTCTCGGTTTTCTATTAATATTTTAAATCGTCAATTGATGGAGTTCATTATCAGACTGGAGCTCCTCATAAATATTAAATGACTGTCAATATTGAAGGAGTGGTTGGGGATTGGATCTTGCGCAGAGTCGCACTTTTTACACGGCTTCGTTAACGAGATAGAAGCTAATTTAATTAGAGAAGTGACTTATACTGTGAAGTTCATTGATTCCACTTTGGAAATGACAAGCTGGGATCTTTACAAGGGGATTTCTTATTTCGCCAGGGAATAGTGGATTGAAGTCGTACGTCGGGTATTACGTGCTTGCACGTTGCAGGATTATTTTTAAACCGGATGAATTTTTGGAAAAATTCAAGAAATAAAGAGAATAAAATTTATCCTGAATTTTTTTTATCGCACGTAAATGGAGATGTGGATTTTTTCCATTTCGTCTTAATCGAATTTTGTTTCTTCTCACTGCTGATTTCTATTGATTCTTAAAATACTTTTTACTACTAAAATGCTTTATTATTCGTTCCACATATTTTTTAAAGCTTCATCAATAATATTAAAGAATTTATACTATAAATTTTTATCGAATAAAATTTCATGCAATTCTACGAGTAATGGATGGAAAAAGCGCAAAGAAAAAAATACTAGTGACGTATGTAAAAAGTGAATGCTCACCACTTTAAATAAAGACTTGACGACTCGTCCTACTGACGTCAAAGTCCTCGATACTCAGTAACATGCTGGCTGAATTGAGTGCAAAGCCATCTTCAATCTGGTACACGTTGATATTGTGATTACCCATTGCACTGGATGCTGCACTGCTGTAAGCACTGGATGTATTCTGCACAGAAGCAACATCTCCAGACTTCTGTGACAGCCACTTGTTAGTCATACCCGACACGTCGGCCTCCGACGCGATATCGAATCTCAAATTCTGCAGGTAATTATTAACAATTGGCTCCTGGTGATGTTGCCTCAGTGATTCAGTCCGGTTAGATGTGAACTGAGATAACACGAGCTCAACCGTTTCCGATGAACTCTGGAGCATCTTCAGGGCATCCTCGTAACGGAGGTTGAGTAGACTCTGCCCGTTTATTGCCACAATTCTATCGCCTGCAATTATTATCACACAATACGTTAAGCCATTAAGGATTGCCATGTACAATAGGAGGAGAGGCCATCTGGCATTTCAAAAATAAAGTCGTAAAGTTTTCATGACTTAGGCAGAAATATCCACAGCAAAAAATATTATAACTGCTAAGAACGTGAGCTGAATTCACGATCTTTCCAATCGGCCACATGACTTATTTAAAAACATACATTACGTGTTTTGAATTAATAAATTATGTCTTTCAAATTCTAAATTATCCATTCCCGATCGTGAACTGCAATTTCAAAAACTTCAACAACAAAATCAAACACGTAAATTCTGATATTCAATTCGGTTCACATGATCGGCGCATAACCGTCATACTTTTCTGAATATAAAAAAAATTCAAAATGGCATAATTTACGGATGCGAAAATCGTAACTCACTATGTGGAACGGGTAATGTCTCGACAACAATGAATGGAGGGAGTCCGTGGGTGTTTTAGAGTAAGGTAAATTCATGAAAAATGTCAAGAAATAAAATGAATCGAACCTTTATTGACATTTCCAGCCATATCTGCGGAGCCACCGACGGATACTGCCTGGACGTATACTCCTCCGTCGTTACCCTCGGTAACTTGCAATCCTATGCTTCCACCATGACCTCTCTCAAGCTTTATCGTGTGGAGAATTCTCTCTTCAGTAAATGACAACTCCTCGAGCCTCGCCACCAGCGATGCAGACATACTCTCGTCGTTGGCTATTCGAAATGTCTCGTCGTTGGTTCTGATATCTGCGTCTGATATAAAATACTGTCGTTACTATCCACTTTTTCATCATGAATTTATAGCTTCGGGGAAGAAAGCCTCTAACCATCCAAGTGATTTTTTTCGTGGGATTACGATAAATCTCGCACTTATCACAAGATCCTCAGTATGGCTTTCCGTTACAGTCATAAAAACAGTTTTAAATCAACGTAATCTAAATTAATTCTAATTAATTTACATTGAGCATTATAAACTGTACCTTTGAAAAATTAAACAAAATCCTTTTCATCTCGACGGTACATTTTTTCTCCATAGAGACTTCGTAATGTAAAGCAAAGAAGAATTTAATGAAAAAGTAATGGAAGGGTAAAAAGTTAAATTTTTCAAGCTTTATGTCATAAAAAAAAATTAAAAAATTTTCCAGAAACAAAAGGCTTGGCTAAATGATGCAATAGCCCAGAAACTCAGGAGTGATTATAAATGCTGTATTCCTGAGATGAGCCACACCGTTTAAAATAAAAAAATCTTTGCAGGAAGAAAAATAGTAATTATTTATAATTCCTTTTTTGAAGAATCCTGAAAGGGTTTAAAAGTGGACTAAAGCGGAAATTGACGATTCAGGAATTAATGGAGAAATAAAATTGGAAAATATAAATAAAAGCTCAACTTACTTAGCACGTAAGCTTCGGGCATTGGAGACTCAGTGGAGTGAACAGATGGTGATTGGATCGACGATGCTGTATCTGATTTGAGGGATAGTGATTCTAGGTCGTCGGCAAGGCTGGGATCTCGTTGGACTAGACTACTATATATCGCCCGAGTGCCCATTTTTACCCCCAGCCGACGTGGAAGACTCGGTGTGCGAAATCCAGTGCTCTGACGTGGGGTTCCGTAGTTTGGAAGACTCGACGTTTTTACCTGCATTCAATAAATAATATTTTGCAATTTAACCTTCGCGGGGTCAAGTCATTTTTTCAAAGTAAAATATCATCAATCTCATACCATTTTTGCAACAATTTTTAAGTTACATTTTTCAATTAATATTTAACTCATTTAATTTCGTGGAATTCTTCGACAAGAATTTTTATATTTTAATTGACTATTTTAGCACATTTATTTATTAAGGGTGGTTGGATGTGTATTTGTTAATGAAATTGTTTTTTAATTTGATTTATAGATGGAAATGGATTTATGATTTTAAAATGACTTTTTGTTTTTTTTTCTTCATGTTGAATTAAATATTTAGTGAGAATTGCAGAATAAAATTGAGTTGCTGTGACATTCGCTTTTCCTATGGATTTATCTTGTCGCCTAATGCTCGGGTCTAAACTGACATTTAAACTGACACTCCGGAGTTATCTTCCAAATAGGGTCTATCCCAGTACTTTGTTTTGCTTTTATATCGCTTTATACTGTTTCTTTCGAATTTATAAACAAGATTTTATTTCTGCTACAACAATTTTCCTCTTGAGTGAATTGATACCGCGAATATATTGAAAATAATAAAAGAAATACAGAATTCTCTCAACTGCTTATGCGGGAAGAAAATGCGAGTGAAATGTGAGTTTCTAAAAAGATTTTTAAAAAAGTATTTTATTGATTGTATCGAGCAAAAAATATTAATGCATTTCAGGAGCTTCTTCTTATGAGGGAGCGGTCAATGTGTTAACGGTAACAATAAATTTTTCTATCGCAATAATTCGGAAATAGCTCTTCTGCAGTTGCTGTTCATTTTTCACTCGGTAATTTTTTTATTTTTATGTAAAAAATCGACTAAATCACACTGATGAAGGGAGCACAACGTACTCGATGTGACAAGTGATTGAATGTTTCGAGTTTTTAACTGGCTGTTATGAACGTATATGGGCTGTGAGAAGAATTTATTGGGAATGTAAAATCGATCGCTGTGACAGCAATTTTGAATGATGCCTGGTAGAATAGTAATAAAAAAATTCCAGAAATTATTTCCGGGGTTTCATTCGGTGCCAAACAGGTGAAAAAATCAATATTTCTGTAAATCCTAGGTAATCTGAGGAAATTCGCAGAAATTACTTCATATTTTAAATATGTGAACATCGATTGCCTTGATGTTGCGATTTGAAACTATCTTGACCTTTAAAAAAATGATATTCTTTTGATTTTATGTTGCAAAATCATTCATAATGCTCCATTTCCATAGCTCTTCGGCATACGCTTTAAATAAGAATTGCTGACTAATTAATTCATCATAACGTGTTACGAAATACGCCTGACGTACGTAATTCAAGTGTAAATTCACTGCAATATGAATGTTTGTATCTAATACCCGATAAACTCTCTCCGTTTCGTGGTTTTTTGCGTTTCAAGTGAGCCTGATTCTAAAATTGGATCTGAGTTAGATGACTTCTGCAGGAAGCCTTGAGACAGTCGACTTCTGTTTAGATATTCGAGCCAAATAATTTCACTTAGACATTTCGAGGTGCATGAATCTGAATAATTGTTCCGGGTTGCCCAATTTTCGAAGATTTTTAAATTCTCTGGAGCTTAAAAAATTACGCAACGGTTTAAAATATACATTTATCGTTTAAAAATATTTATACCCTAACCAAATAAAATTCGAACCGAAGATTACGTTCCACAAATAGTCAAGATATCTCAACCTTCATTAATAAAACAAATTTTATCGATGGATTTCTGACGTTAAATATTCTTCTCTAAATCCACATATTATTTATATTTAAAAGAATGTTGCGCAGCGCCAGCAATTTCAATGACCCGAATCTGCCACTCCGACATTAACAATTCCGCAATAAAAAATATATTAACCTACTTATTTACGCTGAATATTAATTTAATATGAGAAAAAAAGTTTTGCCGATCCCCACAATGGCTCATAAACAAAAGCTGAATGGTAATGCCGGCTCATAAGGTTAAACCCTCCATTACAAAAACCTCATAACCAGAAAGCTATGATCTCAGCATAGAGAAAAAGCATCAGTCAACTGCCACTGGTGGTAGTGCTCACTTTCCAGTTGATAATCACCCCCCAGAGGATAATAAAAAAACATCTTACCTTGGCAAGATTCTTGGTAATATTCTTTGCGTTGACATCCCAGACCTCCTCGGGCGTGGGATATCCATTCTTCTTGCTGAAAGACTTATTGATCGCAGCGTAAAGTTCCTCAGGATGTTTAACCTCCAATTGTTCCTCCCCCCCAATATTCGAGTAGTTAAATGCCTCCTCTCCCTCAGCGGACTCCATCCTCACCCTGGGAGGATGAGGCCTCTCTCCCTCATCCTCAGTATCCCTGGATGCCCCCTCGGGCTCAAGCCTAGCATTAACCTGAGCATAAAGTGCATCCTCCTCAGGCGTATAACAAACCGGCTCATCATCCTCACACTTTTCCGTAACAATCTCCCTCTGAGGATTCTCATTCTCCTTATTCTGCAGCTCTTCCAGGGGCATCGCCCTCTGCTCCACCTTTCCCTCAACAATTTTCGAAGTTTTTCCACTCTTTTGCTTAACTGAACTCCCCTCAACACTCAACGTCACACCGAAGTCCTTGTGAAGTCCCTGGAGCGAAGTCAGCTCAGATTTGAGTTTGAGGAAGAACTGGTGATGCAAAGACGTGAGTTTAAATGCGTAGTAACTCTTCTTGTGATCCATTCGTAGCTTGAATTTTGCCCTCTTTCCACCGAACTTTGTGTAGACAACGAGACAATTTTTGCTGTAGCTCAGAGTCTGAATGTCCCTCCACTGAACACGAATGAGTTCACATCTTTCTCGTGGCCTTCCAGCTCTCTCGAACAGCTTGAGTCCTTGACCGTGAATTGCAAGCCACACGTTCGTGTCGGATTTTTTTCGGGACTTGTTGCTGCTGCTGTTGCTGATGTTGTTGTTGTTCTTTTCGGCGATGTTCATGGTGCTCTTCGGTACGGCGTATATAGCATCATGATTCTTTGTCACCAGGGGTTCGATATTGCCGTAGGTCGCATGACTCGGGTACTCGATTTTACCGTAAACGGAGTAGTCTGTCCCCTCGATTTGGTAGATATCGGTTTCGGGGTAGGACGAATCGGTAGGATTGTTCGCTTCGGTTTTCTTTATCCTGTCGGTGATTTTCTCTAGCTCACGGGTATCCACCGTAGCGATGTAGAAGTGGGAGCCGTAATCCTGGAGCCCTTGGGCATGTGTTATGAACATCTCTTCTGCGCTATTTGCGTCTAGCCCTCGACGATCACGATGTGCCTGGTGTAACCGGGATTTTAGGGCCTCTGTCGTAAGGTCTGATGTCTGGTGATCTGGACTGAGGATCAGCGACTCTGGGATATAGTGCTCCAGGAGGAAGTAATCACCTCGGCCATGCTCCTGTGGGTTCGACGGGGTCAGAGGGTGCTTTTGAGGTGATATTCGGGGCAAAATTTTATCGGGTACTCACGTTTACGTTGTAATTACCGAACTCCGCTTGCAGGGCGAGCCCTGTTAGGTTAATGAGTTGGGTCAAAGGGCAAACTAATTGCTGCTCCAGTATGCATCTTCTTATTTGGAGGTAGAGCAAGTGCTTGGAGATCCAACTTCTAGAATGAGGGTGAGTTTTAGCGCTCGTCGCGACTAGGGTGTCACTGGGAATTAATCGGGAAATTTCCCAGGTGATAATCTTGGAATTTTGAAGGAATTTTCTGTTGGCACTGCGGGTGTGGGTGATTTTCCATTTGAATTCATGTGGAATCACTCAAGTTCAGGGTTTGGAGGTTTCGCGAAACGATAATTATATACATGGTTTAGATAATTCAAATAACGGATTCGTTTTTTTATTATTGAACATTTCGTAATGGTATTGTGGTAATTGAATCGAAAAAGTCTGGGTATGTAATTCTGATTACTATTAAAGTGAAATGAGCACCAGTGAAGAATTACTCTTCCATTGCGTATCGTATAACTCTTCTTATTTATACTGTAATTTTTTTATTTTCAATCATGATTCAACATAAAAACTCAATTATGTTAAAGTTTTGAAATAAATGAAATATTATTAGGATGGACTCTTAATTAATTGGAATGTTTATTTGCAATCAAAACTCGGTTGAATTCAATAATTAAGCTTTGGGATTTATAGCGCTATATTAATCTTTGAAGTATTCCAACAGTGAGGAATAAATTCGCGATGTCAATGTTAAAATTGCACAGAAGATTACTGTGAATAAATGAAGAATGCCTGAATAAAGCATAGCGTGGTGATTTTTTTTCGTTTAAATCTTCTCCTGTATCTGACAGAACATTATTAATCTTTGAAGGTATAAATTTAAATGTTCCATTAAAAGCATTAGTCGAACCATCCAACAAAGGAATAAATAAAAGAGAAAGATCTCTCTGAAAGTTTTGTCATTGTAAAAAAATATCGCTGCAGAATTTAATTGGCAAAGTGAACTAAAAATATTATAATCTGAAATAATCCAATCAAATCAGTAGCAAAAACTTGGGCTCTATGAAATAAATAATATAAACCAACACTGATCTCCAGAAAACAAGAGATTCCAAAAATTTAGTGAGGATTATTTATGATTTCAAATATCAACAGTTACACGTATGGCAATAATTAATTATTCCGAATTCCACAGATAACTGAAGAGTAAAAATTAATAATTAATTATTAATTATGGATTAATAAAATTAATTGGCCCCGGGTGATTAGAAACTAGATCGAGAGGGGCGTAAACTGGGTCTGTGGGTTGTGGAGACAGTAGATGACTATTTTCTATCCTCAATAATCATTCATTTCTCAAGTAACTGTTGAGTGGACTAATTACGATGAACGTCACTCACCTGATTCCTCTTAAAGAAGGAAGAAAGAATCTCAGTCGTAGATAAAGCATGAAGCTGGTGGGGAGACCGAGGGGACCCTTACTTTTGCCAGTATTTGACCAGCCTGACGGGGCAACCTTATGTAGTTTAGTCTCCGGTGGTAGCATGGCAAAATCCCCAGCCAATAATGCCGCCAGGCCAAGAGTGAAATTCTCCTCGAGCGATTCCGCCTGAATGATCGCCTGCAATTGAACCAACACATTTGGATCACAGACATCTCCCATTTTCCTTGTTAGAAAAGAGAGTGCATCAATTGACTGTCAGTTTTTGCATGAAAATTCTCATTATTATAGTTCCATTCGTTCTTTTTATACAAGACTCAGTCCGTTTTTTTATTATCAATCAATTTGAAATAAATAAAGTTTATGTTGTTATACTGTAATGTAGGTTGGCGATGAAAGCAAAATATGTCACGCAATTTCAAAATCATTAATTCTCGTTTGAAATCGAAAAGGAGTTCTCATCGTGATAAATTCGAATGATAAAACCGAGCTTTTTCATTATTCACGTGGAACACAGATGCCAAAACCATTTCAATACCCGATATTTATTTTGAACTCGATATTCGACCTTTTCGTCGTCACATTGTAAATCTCGCAATCGATTCTGGGGGTTTAGTAATACGGAATCGAGTGAGAAGACCTGAATGTAACAATATCCTAAAGTTTTTAATGAGAACTGTCCTATCGGATAAAACTCAAAGTGAAGGAGAGCCTCGGGTCTGGAACTTTATTAAAAAGTTCAACCTTAAACTTCCGATTACGTATACATAGTGCCAGCTTTCACTCATTAAGATTTCCGGAGATGATCTTCTTTTACTAGATGATGGATTAGTGGGAGAAGTGGATTTATCCACCAGGAGAATATAATTTTTTTTGCCTATTATGGCAGTATATAAGGTACTTTTTCTAGCCGCTAAAGACAATAGGTATTTAATACTGCAAAAATTATCAAAATTGTAGTTCTTCTCTTTCTATAATAAATTGGAATAAACAGGGAATTGAGTAAGAGGTCTTGCTAATAAATTATCCCAATCACTGAAAATGGTGATTTTCATAAGAAATTAATCGAGTTTTATGAAAACGAATTGCAGTTTTTAATTATTCCTCAATTAATATGAAGGGTACAGCTTTAATGAACATTTTACCCATCAATGCGTTCACGGTGAATGTCCAAATTGCAGAGGAGATTAATTAATTAAACGTTTAATCAGTGTTATCGTTATTATTACGCGCACACAGTCTTTATTCTCCTGTATATTTTATGGTGGAAGAATAGAGAAAAGTGGATGAACTTTTGGGGATTTGCATTGTGCGGTTCCGAAAGTGCCGGTGAAGTTGTGAGATCATAGGTAACAAGTAGATGAGGTAGGAACGGATTTTGGCGAATTGCCCAGTGCCTTTAGCCTGAGGATACTGGAATTTGTTGGATCTAGGGGTTAAATCCTCTCGACGAGCTTCAAATGGTTTCGGTTACGAGTAACTTTCGAACTATTGAGTTAACGCGGTTATGAATGAGCATTTTATCAGTCAATATGATTGGATGAATTTATCACCAACACTTATCGCACAGCCGTCATTGATGGCTCTCGTTGGTAAGAGGAGGTCAATGAATTACTACACGACTGCACTCCATCGACATTTTGCATGAATGCCATCAATCAATCTTCGGTTATCCCTCCATCGGGGTGAAATTGATTTTAGATTTTTTGCTTTATGTTTTCAGTGGGCTTTGATTGAATTACCTGGAAGAGCTCGCCGGCTGTTATCTTTTGAGGGTCACAGATCACGTCAATTCGCTGGCCGGTGAGTAATATCACAACTATTCTCCCACCAGTACCATTCTGCAAAAGAAATAAAAAATGATTAAAATAGTTCCATTGATGATTTCCAATAAATAAATATCATTCACTTCGGAGGTATTTCAAAAGTTCACCTGATAGATTTCTATTTGTAAGAAATACTGATGTAAAAAACAATTGAAAAAAAAATTAAATAAAAAAATATACGGGAAATAAAAATTGTATAAACAATTTGATTTTTAAAAATGAAGTGGAAATATTCGAGGAAATTCTACCGATCGAGGTTACATATTGTGGATGAGGACTTTTCTTTTTGAACAAAAAAATCGTTTGTAGATAAAAAATGGTGTGTTCTGGAGGAGAAATTGAAAGGTATTTCGAATTGTGAGGGAAAAATAAAATTGTCAGAAGTGGGATTCGAACCCACGCCCACAGAAGTGGACTGCGACCTGAACGCAGCGCCTTAGACCGCTCGGCCATCCTGACTGATGCTGCAAATTTCATGCAAAACTAGTTGTAAAGCGAAAATATTTTCGGGTGATAGCCACATACAGTGGAGTCATCCTAATTTCAATTTTCAATTTTTCATATCAAAATGACATTTCATATCAATTTCGTAACACATAAAATAAAATTCACCCAGTTGAACTGAGGCTCTACTTCAGTCAATCCTCTTTGATGCCTCCCATCACATATTCCATAAAAAATTACGACTTACTTTGACATCTCCCACAGTGAGTAATTTCGCAGGTTGATTAGCACGAACGACAAATTCGGGTCCCACGCACTGTGTTTTATTGAGACATCTCGTGGGTCCAGTGATAGCTCGATACAATCTGGATGGAGCCCTCTGCACGGGTTTTCCCCGTCTCGCCCTCGGCCCATTGCGAATTGCATTCCTGCATCAGAGAAATAGAGAGGTAAATAAAAACCAAATGACATCTCTGTTCTAAATATTGAGATTTCCCACTGATAATATTTGTTATTCAATTATGCATTAATTATCATTATCCTATTATTATTATTACCATTATTGTTGCCTTTTTTTTATTTTAGAGATTCGAATTCGAGGGGCTTGTCAGCTTTCCAACTCTTTTATAAATTGTAATTAATATCACTTTAAATCTGCACGAAGTATCTTTTGCAAAGAGAACGGAAAGGAAAAGCTTGAACACACTTGAACCAGAGAGTGGAAATTCTATCGCAATGAAATATTAGTATGTTACATAAAAGTATTTTAGACATGTGCTCATTCACGTGGAAAGAAAAGAATATCTCTGAAACTGGATGTAACAAAGTGAACCATATATGAATACCTCGGAGGTTTAGGTGGCGGTTCTCCATGAGTGTCAGGTAGAGGTACAGCAGGTCGATTAACACTAGTAATAATCCTCGGTGGCTTAGGCGGAACTGATCCATTCCCCTTAGCCTCGAAATTCAGGTGTCTATCCTGATCAGGATTCCTGGTGATCGGAAATACCCGGAGTTTACCCCCTTGACCACACGGGTGACCCCTCAATCCCCCAGTGTTATCATTTGTATTTCTACTCGGCAACTGAGGATTGGAATACTGCCGATGAAGTGGTGGACAATTCCTACTCCCATAAACAACCTCATCACCATTCATCCTACCAAGATGAGCAATGTTAGGTTGCGATGATCCACCATTACGCACACTCCTAACTCTCACTGGTTGTGCATAAACATCGGTCCGTTGTACTGTAGATTTAGCTGACATACCATTCACCCGGACATCCTGAGAGCTGAGAAACGGCTTGACTGGTAATGCATAAATTGGATCACTGTACACATTGTTGGTGGATTGAATCTGATCACCATTTATCGGTATATTGTGATTACTTCTAGCCTGTGCAATGCCAATCGTACGCTCACAACTAACTGGTTGTGAATTTGTTCGTCCATGATGGACTTCGACACTGTGCATTGGATTTATCGACTCAATGTTCATTTGCGATTGAAATTGTGGCTTCGGGCTTGTTAATGTTGGCTCATGACCAGCGAGACTCTGGAGATTCGGATGAGACCGGGAATTACGAGACTGTGACTTGAAGAGATTCCCTTTGGCTTGATGTTTTGAGTAGTGAGATGGTGCAGGCGGTGGTGGCTGTGGCTGTCGCTGTGGCTTCATACTTATCATGCGTGATTGCATTGCAAGACGTCTGCGTGCTGCGTACTGCGACGATCTTACGACCTCTCTGTACATATCCATTACGATGTGAGTGAAGGGCTTTGACTGCAAACGCGTGCGACAGTATTCTGAAATCACCTGTTAACACGCAAAATTTTGCCTTTTTTTTTTACTTAGGTCAGGGCAATTAAGTCGAAGGATTCAATCTATGATAGCGCCTGCCCGCGTTATCAATGAAAGGCGCAATAGAGTGGTAGATTGGCCATTAGTCAGATCACACGGCTCAATGGTTATTGCATTGAATGCATTCCGTCCATTTCACTGAACGCAAATCGATGTCCCATACGACATGTGGGTATTGGGTCGCCCGAAAAATGATTTAATCAGACCAGTAATTAGTGGCTGTTTCACGTGAGTGACATTTATCGAGTAGCGCAGATCCTTGACGATTTCGATTGCGAAAAAAAATAAGCTAATGTCACGTGGATCATTTCGGGTACTACTTCTCAACAATATTCTGTGGATTGTTTGCATTAATAAAGAAATTTATTGAATAATTCAGAAGTTTTGATATATTTAGTTTTTTTTATTATTCCATATTACTTATACAATTTTCCTGGGTTTTCTTGGGATAATTATTGCACGCTCTTGAAGTGGCGTGCCAATTTTTTTGGGTCAGGCCGACTACTGATTTGTCAGAAAACTAAAAAATTTGGTAATTTTGGCTGAAAGAGGCAGAACATCGTTAACAGTCAAGACAGAATGAATGTTTAACGAATTTTTAACAGGGCAGGTGGTTTTTTCCTTCGGAGTATATTCCCTTTTCTGTCATTTGGTGTCTTGGGATAACTCATCATGACTAACTGGTAGGAATTCTGTTAAAGTAAATTGAGGATTCCAGGTCACAACCGCACGACAGTTGAGTCTCAACAAGGGAAATAACACTGGGTTCGCTATAAACTTGGAAGCAGGCGTTCTCCTCGCAGAGATGGCCATCGATTTCTGAGAACCTTTACGTTCATATGAATGACCCATCTTCTTGATGAATGCGACTACTCTCCATCAAATTCAACTCGACTGAAGGTAAAATACATTTTCTACGCTCTTTCCATCATCGTACCATCGAATCAATAAATTCCAAAAGCTTCGAACGACCAGGGGTTTACAGGCACAAGTGATATTGGTTGCAGGCATTTCCACCGTCAGTTGCGTACGTGATATTAATTGACGGCACCGGATACTAGTCCCGCCAGGTAGCAGTCTGCGTGTCATTTCAAAACACATGCAGTACTCCACACGCTCATACACAATATATTAATATCAATCGTTCTCGTTCGCACCATGTGCGGAATTTACCAACAGTTAATTGAGCGAATAAAAAATTGGAGAAATTAATTTTCAGGTAATTACAACTAATAATTTGGCAGACAATTTCTTTTAATATTCAATGAGATTCTAATCCCACGTCAGCACGACAACGAACATTAATGAAAAACAATTTTGCAATTTCACTAAGATTTTTTTTTAGTTTTCAAATAAAACGCTTTCGTGCGCCATTTCCACAATTATCAATTCAATTAAAAAAAAATACTTTCTGTGATAGTAGTACACGGAGAGAAATTATTCAAATTGTACATGCTCTATGGTATTTAAAGGGGGAACAACTTTCTTCCCTCAATTGCAAACAACATAGTACATTCAATTTGCGTTCAAGGTCATTGCTTTATCGCACAGTGAAGGTATGTACCGGGTAAATGCAATCTGATCTAGTATTACTTCCTCAACACCTTTGTGTATTCCGGACTAATCCAATTAACCTCTCGATGCCTCTCCTACCCTTCCCATTCTCCGCCCTTACACGTATACCGAGTGAATTCCATTTGCATCAACGAGTCATTTATTTTCGGCTCTTAGCAAGTACAACTGCGGAAATGAGGAAAAGGTCAGCTTTCGGTATTTCCCCATCTAAAATAGCGATATCGAATAGTTTCATAATAAAATCCTTGGAAAGTACACGTAGAACAAAAGGTTTTCATTGCCAAAATATTTGAATGGAATTAACAATTTATTTATTGGTCTTACGAAAAAATCGAAAAAATCTCGATGAAATTTGAAATGAAAATTTCCTTCAAATTTCAAAAATACTCTAGTCAGTATTTCAATGCATTTATTTTGTACGAAATGACTCTTCTCGGAAAAAAACCAATTCTCAATTCTATCGGAAAAAGAATTTATTATATATAGACATAGAAAAAAAATCATTTGTCTTTTTTATTATATTTATCTCTGTCCTTTGATATCTCCAAACAGAAAATTGACCAACGAATATTTCGTTGTTTTCAATAACGGGCACTGATAAAAAAGAAGCTTTAGTTTGGAAAAGCCATTCGTTCTGTACTAGAATATGCAATAGCTCGAAGGCAATTGGTTTATTATTCACTGGGTCTCTTACCCCCAGCCCTGAGAGCTATCGTGAAAGGGTTGGATAACGCCAGACGCAATTGTAGTCAGATGCAGACGTACTCGACCACATTCGTGATACTAAATCACCTATTCTGCGAGTGTACTCCACTTCAATTAATTAAACCAGCCATTGCTGTCTGAGACGGTTAATTCAATACGCCTTGTGCAACAAAAATCACTGGGACATGGCAACGCGTCAACAGTCAACTGTCGTAAGTCAGTTCAGTCATGGTGAACAGATTAAGCTGTGACTGGGTACCGTGGAAGTGACCGAACTAATCAATTAACCACCCCCTGGAGGAGATGCAGGTCAAAGGGGGTAGGCCATTACACGCCTCATCGAACGTCACAATGATGATACTAATCGATGACGCGTTCCTTCCCTCACAGGGTTACTTGGTGTTCACTTAGTTATGCAATAGGCTATCCAAGGGTCAATGACACCGACTCCATGAAGTGGTCATTATTGCTATCAAATTTTGCATTTAAGAGAACGAAAACAAAAGGATCATCGACACCCTGTTACCTAAAATTCACGGATTATTCAATGGCACACGAAATTTCATCATGGTGTTCTGTGATTGTTTCTAAAAATCTATACAAAACGCTATTTTTGGATTATGAAGAAGTTGCAGTGGACTTACGTCAAGGAGATTCATGAGGGAAGCCCTTCGACGAGGATCTGGCTCAGTCATGGCAGCCAACACAGACTGCAGGGCTGATGTTGGTGATACAGATACTGATCCTGTGAGGGCAGCTACTCTCGGTGTTGTGTCGACCAGTGCTCGGCCTAATGAGTACATCCACATCTGCAAAGCAATTTGATTTTCTTGGATATGGAATTTATTAAATTTTAGGGCTGATTGACTCGAGAATATGCGTTGAGAACCGTCTGTTGGACATGGAACGAATGCCATGAGAATACCAGGAAACGTTACAACGGCTGAGATTCAGGAGCTTTGCGGTTGACGCTGAGGAATTCTACCGACGACGATGAAGGACTCGTGTTCAGCCGAGTGGCAAGCCAACAAAGCAGAGAGGGTTGTAATGCCAGGGATTTCCCAGGGGCTGTTCGTCAAGCCAGGCGATATGCCAGGTATGGCCTCTCTAGCTTTTCGATAACGAGTTGGCAGCAAATCGAAACATTACAGTCGCTTGATTTCAGACTTTATCACGTTTCCTGTTTTCCCTTTCGAGAATAACCGATGGATCTAGGGATGTGCAATCACCGAAGTTGTGAGATTTAAAGAATATACTCGTGCACCCATAAAAACGTAAAATTCGACCGATTATAATCGATAAGGACCGATCAAATTATTGGAATAGGAAATTATTAGAATATATCCCCATAAATTACATCGGATGCTCCAATAAATAGACCGTACATTTTGAATGATCACATTTAAGTTAAATAAAAAACTGGAGTTGTAGAATTAAATCCTTCAAAGCCTTCAAGTCTGTCTAAAGTTCTTCCAATAATTCTGGCATTCATTTACTCGCACTATTCGGTAATTTTCACCT